AACTCACTCTCCTTTGTTAATTTCCTCTCATCTTCCTAATTTTAGAATGCTCCAGTATCTATTCCTTTGCTTTTTTTCCTCCTTTTTATTTACTCTGGTTGTTCTCATCTGTTCTTGTGGCTCTCTCCTCAGCTCTGGCCTCTCCCCTAAAATCCAAACTACACATTCAAGTGAATATTTAACAGGTATCTCACTAGAGATTCCCCTTCCCAGTCTTCCCAATCTTAAAAAATAGCATATTCCTTCTTCCACTTATTCAGGCTCAAATCATTAGGACTATCTTGACTTTTTCCTTTCTTTTTTCATTCTGTGTCTGCTCTCTCAGAGCATCCGATTATCTCTACTTTCAAAATATATTTAGAATCTCTCCACCTGTCCCACCCCCGTCCACTCCTGTTACCCTGGTGTTGACCACCGTCATCTTAATTACCAAAGTTGCCTCTTTTCTGCTTCCATCCTTACCCTCCATGGTCTCTAAATTGCTGCCAGAGTAATGCCACTACAAGATGTCAGTCTATTTATAGAGATAATGTCACTCTAGTACTCAAAACCCTCCAACATTCCTAAGTCACTCAGAGGAAAGCCAGGGTCTTTACAATGGCCTGCAAGACCTCCATGGTCCCTGCTATCATATACTATTTTCCCCCAATATTCACTTGGCTCCTCACATTCACACTGGCTCACTGCTCCCTTTACACTTATTGTTACCTAGCACAGTCTTCTCTTAGTTACAGACATGGCCCATTCCTTCCTCTCCTTTAGGTCTTTACCCAATTAGCATTGTCTCAAAGAAGTCTCTTCTAGCCATTCTCTCTCGTAAATATCTCTTGACATTTCCTATTCCAATTTCTTTTTTATTTTTATTCTTAGCTCTTATCACAATCTGATATGTGGCACATTTTGTTCTTTATCTTATTCATTGTTTTGTCTTCCTCATTAGAATGCAAAGTCCTTAGAGACAAAGTTTTCTAATTTTTTTTCTCTGCTTTATGCTCAAGCATCTATCTAGAATAGTTCCTGGCACATAATAACACTAAATAAATATTTGTTAAATATTAGCTGTTTTTTATAGTCCTAATTACAATCAGGATAAAAAAGAATATTGCAACATAAGAAAATTTATACGTACATGATTACAAGTTTATTGTGCATGACACAATTAATTTGTTTCTGAAAAATGTGTCAAAAAGTGAATGTTTATAACAAAGTATTTAAAGTAATCTAGCAACATTTCTATTTCAAAGAATCTGTGACCGATCCTCTGTATAAAACAAAGGACTTTAAAAAATAATTTAAGTAATTTCCCCCAATATAGCTCTTATAAGTTAAATATTGTATTTGTCAAGTTTTCTTACTTCAAAATGTGTTAATGGATATTGTGTAAAAGCAGATAGCCTTTGAGCCTTACACCAGCCTGTTTTAATTCTAAAACAAATTAGCAAAAAACATAATGGAAACTCTGAAAGATGTTGGTGAGACACTTAAGCTACTGTACATAGTTCTCTCCTCCCAACATCCTCTCACCCACATCCACAAAAACTAGTGCACTATAAATTACCTAACATATTTCCAAAAGTCCCTCTAGGGGGCAGTATTGTCCCCATTGAGAACCACTACTCCAAGGACATGGTAGACCTGTGAAAAAAGTCCTTCCCACCCTCTTCTGCTTTGGACCTCTGCTATTCTGATGATAGCATGGAGGAAGAGGTAAAAGGCAAATACTTTCTACTTAACGGGGTATGTTTTTCTCCAGGATTAGGTGTAACTATTATCTTATCTTGTTGGTCTGTAAGTCTTCAGTCTTCCCCTCATATTCTGGTGAAGGTGGGATTGAGAAGCTTGGTAATAGGACCGGTGATCTGATCTAGCTCCACTTAAGACTTCGATGGAGAGATTGCCCCACCTGAAAGCATAGAATATAAGTAGCCAGGTAGTGGGGTAGGAATGGGGGTTGGGGCGGTTAGTGAACTCTGCTTTTTTCTTTTTCATTTGTTTCCTATGTAATTGTGGAGTATAAAAAGACAAATTTGAGAGAAGTGTGCTGTAGCAGAAAACACCCCAGGCCAGAAAACAAATCCCTGTGTTATAGCACCAGCTCTATCTCCCCCATTGTGTGATTTTGGATATTTTAATTCTCTAGACAACCTTTATTTCATCTGGAAAATGGGTTAGAGAGTAAATTAGAGGATATTATATCTGAATCCTTTAAGCTCTTGAACTTAATCCATCTGTGAGCATTTGGATCTCCATGCAGACAATATATACAACCCTTCTCTGTGTGTCCTTGAGGAAGGTGAGAATTTTGATTCTCGCTCTTCAAATTTTTTTCATACAAGATCTGTGGCATTGAATTTGGCAAGCATTCTTGAATCAAAGATTCATGTGTGTTTCACTTAAAATATATTAAACATGGCGAATCACTGCATTTTAGAGTTAAGAAATTATTTGTAAAAATCGTTTGTTAATAAAATTAAGTTAGACGCCTTGTACTTTTTTCTATGCCTAGGCGAGTGCGTGACATTGCGAATGACTTCTCAACACTTCATGGCTCTCTTCTGGGTACCGAACACTGTACAAAACAATAGGCAGTAGTCAGGGCATAAAGGGCATGACAGATACGCATGCGCTTGTAAAGGTCCTTACCATCCACAGCGTCTTAGATTTTTTAGAAGAGCCAAGACAGATCCCTGTCCAAGTGACTGGTCGAGGGTGAGCTCTCAGGAGAAACACCTGAAAGAAGGAAAGCAGGGTGAAGCAGGAGAAGTTAGGCGGTTAGATTCCTGAAGAGCGGCTTCAGGAGTCTTGCTTCATCCTGAGCCCATGGGGAGCTCTGGAAGGTTCTCAATTATGCCAAGGTTTTTCAGTTCAGGGCCAAGTCATCTTGGCTCTTAGGACCCCACTTCAGCCAGCCCTTTGCTACAGGTCACCTACGGGGGCCATCTGAGGATCTAATCTCCCAGCTGTCTGCAGCTGAATCAGTTCCCATCAGCCAAGGACAGACCTATGCAGAAGGTTTGCCCTCGGCAGCCAAAACCCACTGCTGCTGGGAGGGTGGGCACCCTGGAAAGGAGAATCTGGTTAGGGCATGAAGACTTTCTACTACGCATGGGATTAACGGGAGCCAAATCATATTTTTATGGTATCCTTTAAGGGTACTTCTTAAGCCACCTATCAGTAAGTGACATGTAAGAGAGCACAGTCTGAATGTGCAGAGGTACAGAGTGAGTAACCCAGACAATGTGTACTGAGTGCTTGCTCTGTGCTGCACACCATTAGGCAACCCTTATTCCTCTCAAGAAATCTGCCATGTCGGTAGTATTATTGCTTCTATTTTCTTGTAAACTAAGGCACAGAGAGGTTAAATAACTTGGTCAGGGCCACACAGTCAGCAAATGCCAGCGAATGATCATTTCATTGGTGATAATACAGTACGGCTTCCATGGAACAGAATAAATAAATCTAAACTCTCCTTCAAATCAAAGGTTTAATGTGGGCTTACATTTTAACAAGTTCCTAATGTGACCCTTATGCTGAAGTATCAGAACCATTGTTGAGTGAAATCAGTTTTCCAAGTTGGAGAAAAGCTATGTAAAAGACAATATCAACAAGTAAAAGTGATCAGCAGAAATAAATGTGCTTGTGAATTTTGTAGCTAGTTTGAAGGAACTGAAAAGGAATGCCAGAATAAAATTGAGAATGGGCTCTCAGATAGCAAGACAATAATTACGCAGGAAGAAATGACCTTCTTGTCAGCACATTGCTTCTTAAAACAAAACAAAACAAAACAAAATAGCAAAGATAAAAGGTGTTCTAGGAAACACTGGCTTTGTGTACCCACAAGATGTTCTTTTATACTTCTGTGCTGGGCTCTGTAAGCATTTATCCCTAAAAATATGCTAAACTACCTCTTTCCCAGAGAAGAAAGGGGTATTATAAAATTAGGAAGGGAAATAATATTTCCTCAAAAGTTTTGAAAATAAAAACACTATGTAAATACAAGGAAATAAGTTAGTTGATGATATATGATTGGCAGAGTGTTTTTGTATAGATGTTTATGTCATTCTTTGAAATAACATGTGACCTGACTATAACTACTTTCATAAAAAGTAGGACCACAGAGACAAAAGAGATTATAAGCATGATGCCACTTGGCTATAATGAACTATTTTCCAGACAATTTCACGTGGGTACCACCAAGCTGCTATGCCATCTTTCCCATTGCTGAGAATGCAGAAGAAAGAATCTATTCTTTTATGATGATATTGGTAGATTGGGTTCACTAGGTCCCCCTTATCCTGCTACATTATCTCATTGCTGCTATTCAATTCGTCATGACAGTTACATGCAAATTCCAGGTATTGTTTGGAGAAACACTTTGAAGTAATATGCTAATTATTTTTATTAACTAAATTATTTGCTTTATTTCCATTTTATTGATGTATATTTCAACCCAATATTTATAAAGAACTTATAATGACACTTTTATTTTGGTTCTCTGTTAATACCAGATTAAATACTCCAGCGATTTAGGGGATTAGTGGACAGTCCTCAAAATGACCTTAAACTAACTTAAATAGCATAGATCATGTGATAGAGGGCTTTACAGCTGGATATGAAGGTTGGAAATCCAAATTTTTACACTGTGGGGGGAAAAAAGCAAGGAAAAAATACGGAGGAGTTTTACGTGTTTAAGATTGTCTGCTGACTACACTGACCTCCTCGCATAAACCTACTAGCAGGTGTTCAGAGTCTAGTACTTGGTTTAATCATATTAATGAAGATTATAAAGACACTTTAAAATCCCAAGGCTAGTGCTCGGTGCTAGAATTGTTCAGACAGCATTTGTGAGAAATTGATTGTCGAAGGAAGGTAAAACAAACACACAAAGAAACAGTTCACTCAGTAAGTTAAGAGCTGAGGGGAGGGTTGACTAACTAACTTGAAGCAAATGCAGCAATTTAAATGTTTGAACTAATCTTCTACCTTTTAGCAGGCAAAAGATGCCCGTGATCAATATTGAGGATCTGACAGAGAAGGACAAATTGAAGATGGAAGTTGATCAGCTCAAGAAAGAAGTGACACTGGAAAGAATGCTGGTAAACCTTTTTCTTTTGAATTCTATTTGTAACTGGAGATGCTGTGGGATCTACCAGATTAGAAAACCATTGAACGGGTACAGAATTTGCTACCCTACATATGCCTTTTTGGCATAAGGATTATTTTAGTCTTATTATTTTTAAGAAACAGCCAGGAAAGACTCTGAAAACCTAATAGATTTGCCTTTGGTAAGAGATTTTTTTTTAAACATATATTAGGGGACTCTCCATTTGTGAGGTGTCTCCCTCCCTGTACCAAGAAAAGGAGGATGACTAAATCTCTGGAAAACTATAATCAAGGGAGAAGGTGAGGACTTCAGTCTGCTTCATGGTCTTCCACTTGTTTACTGAGCTTTGCCTGGGGACCTCTCATAAAGGATCCTCAGCCCCACTCCTCCCACCCATCTGTCCTTTGTCTTTAACTGGAGATGGTATTTAAGGAGGTGTCTTGGGCCATTTTGAGGCATTGCTCAGTTTTCCTAGATATCTCCCATGTGTACAGAAGGTATACATATGATGAAACTTCTTTTTTTTCCCCTGTTTTCTGCTTTTTTATTGCAAGGGGTTCTGAGCCAATGACCTAGAAAGGTAGAAAAAAAGTATTTCTCTGGTGCCACACCATTTACTGGACAAGCTCAATATAGTTAAAAATAAAGTATGCAAGTAAAAGCTTATCAGAGATTAAGAAAATAATCACAACTGTCTTCTGATTTAGATTCTAAAATGGAAGAACTGGCAAATTATTTTCCATGGATTCTAAATCCAGCCATTGCCTATTTTTTTTTTGTTTGTTTGTTTTGTTTTGTTTTGTTTTTATATGACCACTAAGTTAAAAATGCTTTTATATTTTTAGAGTTGTTAAAAAAAATTAAAAAATGAAAAGAATAGGAGACAGAGACTATATTTTAACAAAGCAATAAAATAAAGCAATGCGTCTTGGGCTTTTGTTTTTATCTTTCTAAACGGATAAGCTTCTCTTTATTTAACACAATACTTTGATGTTGTTTAAATACTTCTAGTCAAGACCTAATCCTCTTTAGCACTGTCATGCCCAGTAATAAATGGGTACATTCTATTCCTTCTTTGGAAATATAAGTTAGTTCAAGCACAAGAAGTCACAGGTTCCTCCCAAAAGCATCTGACAGGTCTTGGAAATGGTTACCAAGAGTTCTCTGATAACAAAGGACACTAAATGGCAAAGGTATTCAAGTTTCCACCGAAGAAGCAGTGACTGACGCTTGGAAAATGTAGGTATTTTAGATTTGTTTGTTTTAGGAAAATTAGTAGAAACAAAAACTCCTTCACAAATGATAGAAGTGTATTTTGTATATTTTTTAAAATACTCATTTTAGCAGGCCAAAATAAAAACGGAGTGTATTATCTTCATACTTCACTTAAAACTCTTACTCCTGATAAAAATAGGAATTTTGGCTTCTTTGATGTTAAAAATTATTTCAGACATTCCTGTTGCTCTTTCCACATAGGCAAAACGTATTTTGCTGTAAAGATAAAATTAAATCTATAAACAAGAAAAGCTTAAAACACATGCTAAAAAAGTTCAAATCTTTATCTTTATAATTTGGAGAATATAAAATAAAATTTGGGGGTAAAGGAGAGTTATTTTTTTCTTCTTCAGTTGACGCACCCAGTGGCTGTTTATTATTTATGTACTCAGGATTGTGGTTTTATAAGCACTTTGGCTGTCTTCATGTTTATTATTCACTTGTTACAGGTTCACCTGGGAATTTTTGCTTTGAGTAAACATTACATGCATCACTATCTGTCAGGTTTTGGGTTCCTTTTCCTATTATTCAATGTCTCCTTGCTCTTAGAAGTCAAACTAATTTAATCTCAGGCTGACAAAGCCACACATGCAGACACACACACACCACAGAACTTCGAGGCTCTGAACCCACAGCCCTGACACAGGATGGCTTAATGTCCAGTGTGGCTAAGAGGATAAGCTCTGGAGCCATGTCTCTTGTTCAGGTGGACACTGCTTTCTCCCTGTCTAACACTCACCTAAGTTATCTAACTTACCAGTGTCTCTGTTCCTTCCTCTGTAAAGTGGGCATAGTAACAACATCTAATGCGGAGGGTAATTGGGAGGAATACATAGGATAATAGTACAAAGCTCTGAGTGCAGTGCCCAGTATAAAGTGCTTTCTACCATTGTTATTTTTTAAACTACTGTTGATATCTATGAAAAAGGCTGGTTCATAACATGCCTCAACCTATTTTGTTGTCAAGGCTGTAGTATTGTCAGGGTAAGACAACTCTTTGCATCCAGTTTCTAAAGCTGACAGATAATTTGCAATGATTCTAAGTCAACCTAATAGGCAGACTAAAGATAATCCTTGGAGTAATAGCTAAAAATAGCTACCATTTGACTGAGCATCTTTGTATGCCCGGCCCTTAATGCTGCCGGTGTTGCTCTTGCTATTTCACAGATGAAGTAACTAAACCTGAACGAAGATACACTCCTATAGCTGGTCAGTGGGCGGGGCCAACACGCAAACCTGGAGGGGCCTGAATTCAATGTCATTGCTTTCCACCAAACCATGTAATCCTGAATTAAACCACAAATACTTATAAGAAGCCTCACCAAAATAATTTTAAACACATGCACTTACATAGGACTTTAGCAAATGTATTACTCTTTGTGTCCTGAGATCCTAGCCAGACACTGTCAAACTCCTGAATTAGGACGGCAATTTAAACCTCTATGCCCGACATCTTGTGGGGCCAAAAGAGCTGGTGTTTGGAGGAGGGGAAAAAAGGTGAATTTAAATCTCAGTTTTGAATTTTGAGGAAGAAAAGAAGTGAATCTCAGTGACTCTGTGTTTCAAAAGTGTTTACGAACTCCACAGGTGATCCCATGAAGGAGCTCCCTAGCCAATGCCTTGCTGCAGTGAGAAATGATTGCCCTAACATGTGAATAATGTTTGCAGAGTTGTAATCTTAAATCTCATGACTAATGTTGCTTGGAATTTGCGTGTAAAATTGTCATAAAGATTTTATTAAAAAACAAAACAATAAATTGGTTAGGTCACAAATGGAATGGCCACTTAATGGACGGCCAAAAATGGAGTGTTTTTTGTGTGTTAATGTCATGAATGTTGCATTAAGTGAAAACAAAACAAGTTGAGAGTTAAAAAAATGAGTACTTTGATCCCATATGCACCTCTCAATGTACACTCTCTCTCTCACACACACACACACACACACACACACACACACACATGCATATTTACATATGTGTAGAACATTGCCTCTCTCTAAAAGGTGTGTTAAGTGGTCCATTAGCAGTCTCTGGCTAAGTCCATTAAAATACTAAAGCCTGACTCTTCGTGAATTATTACTGTAATGATGATGAGTGGGAAACAAGTTCATAAACAAAACAAATTATTCAGTTCAGCAAATATTTATTTGCTGAGCACCAGCTAAATGCAGGCTCTGTCCCACATGCCTGGGATACATGTGAACAAATCAGCCAAATTCCCCGGACCCTGTGGAACTCATCTTCAAGTGCATCATCATGATCAATCATTGTAGATAAGTTTGAAATGAAATTATATGTGAATACTTCTGAGATTCCAGGAGTGGTGACAAGCCTGGAATTTAACAGTGATTCATTCCCTCCCACCTTTACAGGTCACATTTTTAGAATGAGGAAAAATATGTAATTAATGTTGCCTCTGGTGACATCTTGACTCGTGTTGCCAGCTGTGTTCTGATCCCTGGATCCCGTCTCCTTTTAAGAAGCTGGAGGCAGTGTCTGCAGGGAACCCTTAGCTGGAGTGGGGCCAACTCTTTGTCCTTTGCCTGGAGACATCCAGGGGGACAGGGGAGGGAGCAGCTATTTCCTCCTGTCTTCTAAAAAGTACATACGCATAGGCAGAGAGCAGAGTCATGTTAAGAAGATAGAACACAAAAAATATTGTAATAAATACGTTCTTGAATTCTGCAGTATTGTATATTAAGCCAAATGAGTCATCTCTTTCTTCTTTTCTTTAAGGTATCGAAATGTTGCGAAGAAGTAAGGGATTACGTTGAAGAAAGATCTGGGGAGGATCCACTAGTAAAGGGTATCCCGGAGGACAAAAATCCCTTCAAGGAGTTGAAAGGAGGCTGTGTGATTTCTTAAAAATAAATTTTAAAAATCCTTGGAATATCTTAAGTTTTAATGGCAATATTACTTTTGGTCATGTATAATATTAGTAAGCATGAACATGAATTTTTTAATCTCGAACTATGAACTTTTAATAAAAATTGGGAAGTGATAATATTAAGTCTATGTTTTTTGAACATATTTATATAGTAAAGGGTTTAACACATAACTGACAAGTATTGATAGAACCCCTTCTTTAACAATAGTTACGATGTTCTGTGAGTGAGTCTGTATTATTTTGGTTGCCAGCAGATAGTTAATGTTTTATATGTTTCTTTACTTCCCTTCCAACAGTCCTAATATTCTACCTGGAAATTTCATTGTTAGACTTACATTTTCCCACCCTTTCTCTTGCTTACCAAATTAAGAAGTCTACTCTTTTGACTCATGGAAGACTTGTCTTTGCAGAACATGTGCTCTGAAGATTTTTGTTGCTGTCTTGTTTTTGGTTTCCCTTTCTCTCTCAAACCCCAGTCAGCAGTGATGGTTTTCACATAATCTCTCCCTACATCCTCAGCAGTTCTAGTTGTCACCAATGATGTCCCTTTTTCCCGGAATGCCAACAGGATTAAGGCTTCGGTCTCTGGTCATAGAGCACAGTGGAGTGAACCAGCACCAGAATAAAGATTATGAGAAGCCAGAGAGTTCTGGCTCTGGCACTTGACTGCCAAACTGACTTTAGATGAATTACTTAATTTTTCTGAATCTCAGTGTCTTCTCCTGTAGGACAGGATAATAATGGTGGTATCCCCTTTTTCACGAGGATTGTCTATGATACTAGGGTGCCTACAGCACTTAGCATATTGCCTGGCACATAGTAAGACCCAATAAGTGTTAGTAATAGTAGTGGGAAAGGAACTAGACAAAATGTCCAGAATCCTTTAATAAGATACTTGCTATCCCTTCTGTTCTTTTTCTGTGTAAAGGCAAGATGATAGAAAAAGAGCTATCATCTGCATCATCCTACTCATCCGTTTCCTCCTGGCATCGTATTGCGTTTGCCTAAGCCAGGTTTCACTCCCTTTGTGCTTGTGACTATAGCCTCTGCTTCTGTAACAATTAACAAGTGTTAATGACCCCAACTGGAAAACTATTTTTGTTGTTAGTGTTTCCTTGTTGCTCTCTCACATTTATGGTGCTATTTTTAGACATCTGTGATCAAAATGCTAATTGATTATCATCCTTTTAAAAAAATAAGAATTATCTATATTTGATCTGGAAGGGAATCTAAAGGCTCCTTGTCCTAAGTTTGGATTCTAGCACAGTGTCTTTCCACTGTGGCCATAGTAAATGCTCAGCAAAGATTTATTGACTCTTGTCCATTACCTTCAAACTAGGCTCAGAGAAGTGAACTGGTGATTTTTTTATGTCTAGGCTTTAGATCTCTTCCTCAACAGTTAGCAACACACTCTACTGAAATACTCAAAAAATGCTTTGGGTATTGAGGATTTTCAGGATATACTACTGGAGTCTCATTTCCTTTTCCTTAGGAAAAGCTCTTTTTCCCCTTGTTTAATATTACAGAAGCCCTCTCCAACCACCGTCCAGCACTTCATATTCCCACTTTATTTTCTTCCATAGTACCCATTGCCATCTAGTATACTCTACATTTTATTCTTTTGTTTGTTTAATTGTGGTCTGTCTATAGAGATTTTCCATATGCAATTTAGTGTTTATTAAGTGTTCTATGTCTTCTTTGGCTCATTAAAAAAATACAAAGTTTTACCTATGGAATTTAGTAACATATATAGTTGTAACCAACACCCCTAGCTTTCATTTTGGAGCCAGACAACTCTAAATTAAAACCCTGGCTCACCTACTTTCTAGATGAGTGTTTTGGACAAGTAACATCAACTCTTTGAACCTCAGTAATTTTTTATGTATAAAATGGGGGATTAAGATGAATTGCTATATGAATATTTAACATCACAAGATCCAAGACGAGCATGTAGAAGAAAACTTAATAAATGTCCTCTATTATAATAAACCCTGTAGACTTCCATTAGTCAACACACTTAAATATTAAATAATCCCTGACATTACATCTCATTTTCCCATCTTCTAGAGTTCAGTCATACTAATCTTCCCACCTGAAATGTTCCTCAACTCCATCTCATTTCAGCCTTTTGAAATCCTATGTTTCCTCTGAGGCTTAATAAAAACTATCTTCTCTCTCCCTTACTTTATCCCAAGAGTATTGTATATCTCTTAAGTCATTTAATATTAATTCACTTTCTCTGGTTATAATTTGTGTGGTTGTCTTCATTTCAATAGTATATTGTAAATTTCTCAAGAGAGAAGTTCTGTTCATCTTTGAAACCTCTGTACCAACTAACAAATTGTCTCTACAATCTAATTGACTTAATGTGTCTAATTCAATTAAAAGGAGGTCAAAACAGTACTTTTTTATATTGGATAATTCTGAATTCTTACTGGCTTATTAGTTAAATCAATAGTAAGGTAAAAGTCCTGCTGCTTCAAAATTCATATTGTCAGCGAGATTTTGAATAAGATAAAAATCATAGGAAGGAAGTATAGAGAAAGATGGTCCAGGAAGAAGGAAATGAAATCATGACTATCCCACAGCCTACACAGCTACAAGTAGCAATGAATGACAACTCTTTTTTTCCTCCAGAAGTTGTTATTTCAGGGACATGGATTACTAGGTTAAATGGAACAAAGTAAAACTGCAGGGTAACAAAAAAATACTCCAGACATAGTCTTAGAACTTGGCTGTTCAATGAAGTTTCCTGATATCAATAGTAAGAATATGTAAAGTCACTTACTGTATCATTTGAGGTACTTGTACTTCCAGGGTGTTTAGTACACATAGGCAAGTTTAAGTTTTAGTAAGAAAAACTCACTCTTATTTTCATTTGGATTGATTGATGTTAACGACATTTCAAAACAAGGCTAATATCACACTTCCTAAATTCCGAAAAGAAAGTATTAACATGAGAAAAACAATAAACTGAGTGATGAGATTGACCAATTACATGCAATGAGAGTTAAAGTCTTATAAGAACATAATTGATAAGAGAAATAATTTTGATATCATGAATTACTAGTTTTTAAGATAACTGGAGCATCACAAACCTGTGACTTCCAATTACCTCCACCTATAAAAAGAATGTTACACACCTGCTTACATGAAATAAGTTCAGGAGCATTTGCATGTGATAGTTACAATAAATTGAACGAAATATCGAATGAACCAAGAGTGCACAAAATGTGTGTTAAATACTTTCCTTAAAGAAACCATCATTTTAAAGGCCCAAACAGTCATCATTTACTTTACAAATTTTACAGGAGCATAATTTGGGAGGTAACCTAATTAATTTATACTAACAAAAACAGAGGCAGAGAGAATATAAGTCTTGAAAGAATCACAAAGTAAAATAAGAACCCTGGTCTTTTCTGAGTTCAGATGAGTAGAAAATCAACTCTAACGTAATTGCCTTCAAATGTTTCTTATAACTGTCTTTTTATGTTATACATAAAAACACACTATATCAGAAAAATTGTTTTTCCTTTTTTTGCATTCCTAGGTAAATATTTCATGGTCTTTGCTCTTTTATCCTTAAAAGTGAAAAAATTACATGGTTAATATTATTTTTATTAAGCAGATTTCTTCTTTTATACATTTTTTTATGTAACCAATGACTTCTAAAATTTCTCAGTTACAGTTTATATACAATATTATGTTTTAGGTGTATAACATAGCGATCAGACACATATAACTTACAAAGTAATCACCTCCATAAGCCTAGCACCCATCTGACACCGTATGTTATTATTACAATTTTACTGACTACATTCCCTATGCTGTACTTTACATCCCCATGACTGTTTTTATAACTGACAATTTCTTTAAAACATTTGTTGAAAGATGGTGGGATAATAAAAGTTCATTTCAGATTACACCTGTCATATTCACTGCAGAATGGTTTCCACACATATTATTTTGCATACTTTTATTAGGGGTAATATATAGAATATATGTAAAATGCTAAAAGTACAATAGGATACAACTGATATGGATTTTTAAATTTGTTTATCCAAAAAAGTTGCTTATAATATATTTCTGCAAGAATACGCAAGAAATTGCTCACCATGGTTGCTCTATGGGAGGTAAATTCCATGCTTAGGAAGAGGCGACGTGTGTGTGTGTGTGTGTGTGTGTGTGTGTGTGTGTTTAAGCGTTTTTCATCATTTTACTATTTAAAACTAAACAACAAAACATTTTTCAGAAATCTATGTGATCATGGAATTTCAGCATTTCCCAATTTATTGTAGTTCAATTCATTTACTTAAATATGATATTAGCATGTGAATTATTTGGTAACAATAAAACCTTAAAAAAAAGTAGACATATGTATTTCATCTCTAGTTTAAGTCTCATAATACTGGGGAAGCAGTTAAAGAACCATTATGGATTTATATATTTTTCACTGCTTGCAACTAGAGATTTCACAAGGAAGGAATTTCCAGATCAAAATAATTCTGTTTTTATGATTTGGAACAGACATACTCACGTTAATTTACTTAACTAACTTATTTAATTTGGATGCTGAACCTCTTTATTATAGGCCATGTTAACTACTTTCACTAACTCATTGTTAAGCTATTTTTAACCAACTTTTTAAATTTAAGCAATGGGAAATTTTTTAAAAACGCATGGGTTCTGGAAACGTGAGTTTTTGTCTTAGGTCACCGCTTGCTAACAAGGAAAACTCCAGCAGCTGATTAACTTCTTTAAGTCTGGGAGAACTTGGAATGTGTGGTATTTTTAATACAGGAAAAGAACCTCCTAACATTTTTCTTTGCAAAAGTGGTTTATCAGACGTAGATACATAAATACAATTAGAAACAAAATATACCTTAGTTAATTCATTCCTCCGCAGTCCCATCACATTTTTTTTACAAATTAGAAAACCCAAATCCAGAAAACAATAAGCAACTTTTCCAACAATGGC